TGTCTCTCACATTTATTCTCTCTGCCTGCCAGTTCCACCTGTTTCCTTCCCCTGCCTAGCTGTTGAACGTTCAGCTCTTTATTAGACCAACCAGGTGTTCTAGACAGGCAAAGAACACAGCTTTACATTGTTAAGCAAACGCAACACAAAAGAATGCAGCACATTCTTTTTTTTTGCATCATTTTTTGCATCATTAACCAAGCATTCCACATCATAAACAGATGAAGCACATTTGAAATTAATATTTTACAGCACTCACTAATTGGGTACCACGTACTACATTGTTCTTTGGAAAACACATCAAAACAAAAGCAACATATCAGATACCACCAATGACCACTAGGAGGCACTAGTTATTGCATATGGACATTCTGAAGCTGGTTAGGAGAGTGTGATCTTGGGTTAAAAGTCATTCAGTTCTAGTAACACTTAGACTACTCTAAGTAGCAATAAAGATTAAAGAAGAAGCAAAAACTCTCGAAAAAAATATGAAGATGTGTAATGAAGCAGGGTGGGCAGCTTGATGCATGCCTATATTCTCAGCATTCGGGAAGCAGAGACAGAAGGATTGAGTGTTCAAGGCTGTTCTGGAAGAAATCGAGTAGTTCCTGGACAGCCTTGGCTACACAGTGAGTTCCCATATTAAAAACAAGCAAACAAGGGTTAGTGAAAAATCAGGTATGGCTTTAACATCTAGTAATTCTAACCCTCAGGGTAGTGATGGTGTTTTACTGGGCTTGTTTGGTGGTCAACCAGATGTCTTTATCAGATGGTGTGTGGTTTCTCTAGCTGCTTTGTAGGAGGGCCATAATAGATCATTGTGGTCCTCTTTCAATCTGTGGAAGTGTAGAGGAACAGAAATATGGGGAATTTACAATAGCACCCTCCAGGGATGTAGTCATCCGTGCTTTATGGTTAGTTGAATGCCACGTACAGAAAGTACCCTGCCAGTGTGGAACAGGGATCAACTCAAGGGAATCAGTTATTCTACAGAGCTACCCGTGAGACCACACTACAGGTGGGGGCCAACAAGGACACGGGCCTTAGCTTCATTCTCTGCCCTGCTCACCTTGCTCCTTTCACTCTGAGAGCAGCTGCATCTCCATAAACCACACTGTTGAAAACCCAGCCTATGATACATAATTCTGTGATGACAGAATTGGGTAGTTGAAGACTAGCGGTAGGGAGACAGGGTCTGGGAGCTGTTCCCCGCGGCATTCCCTTCCAGACTATGATTTAATCTCCAGCTCTTCAGCATAGTGCCTGGCATTCACAAAGTGTGCAACAGATTTTATTTTCTCTGTCAAATGAATCCGACTTGGAGTTCATTGAGTTTGCAAAAAACATCAAAGCGTCCGCCCGAGACACAGAATGAAGACCCAAGAAGGCTGCTAGGACAAGAAATCCAGAACTTTTTACAGGCAAGGAAGCGATTCAAGAAAGGGGCAGTAATTAGTGTCAGGTGCAAATGAAATCTGACTCTTTTCAGTGTAAAGCAGCCAGCATTTGTCTTTATCTCAATTAGGTACCTAATTCTCATTACTCTTAATCGATGAGCTGCGATTTTCTAGTAATGTCTGGGCACAATTCCAATTAGTGGGTTTTGTTCACTACTAGTAAGTAAGGTGGGGAGAGAAGAAGATTGATGATAGGCTAGAGAAATATTCGGAGACTTTGTTTGTCTTCTTGTGACAAATAATAGAACAGGCCACCGAGAGTCTTAGAATAAGAAAGTCACCTTATACCGAAGAGGAATTCAATACTCATTTTTCATCATTAAAATATTGCATTTTCTAAAATTATAAATAAGGAAAACATACATAGCACTGAGTTGCTCCAAAGGTGACCTTTTCAAATCTTTTTTTAAAAAAAATATTTCTTTTATATTTTGAGATTATAATACAACTATATCATTTCCTCCCTCCAAGCCCTCCCATATACCTCTCCCTGCTCTTTCAAATTCATGGACTCTTTTTTTATTATCTGTGGTTGTTGTGTTTGGTGTGTGTGTGTGTACTTATATATCCTTTAATACAAAAGTACAACCTTCCCGGTCTGTTTAATGTTAGTTTTATGCATGTTTTCAGGGTTGACCATTTGCTAGTGAGTTTAAATATAGGTCTCCACTCACTAAAGGAAGACGATTTGAGGTGCTCTCAACTCTAGTTGTCCAGTTGCATCCCATAAACCCTAGCTAGTTATAGCTCTTTATAACACCCCAACAACCCCCATTAGATGTTTACACTTTTCAAGTATTTATAGACTGGCATCATTCCTTCCTCATCCTTTCACAAATATGAACATATTTTATGCTTATAATACTTCTTACTAATCACTTTCCTTAAAATTAAGCTACTTCCCTTAGTTCATCCAATTTGTATCCATATTTTGATATAGCGCTAATGAAAAAAAAAATGAACTACCTCGGGCACAACTTATCCAAAGATTGTTTTTTTGAAAGTGTATAAACTTTTATCATCGAAGTTAGAATTCGTGACTTACATGTGCTGAATTTATTAATATTCTTTGAAAACTCGTGAATAATTCTACTTGATATTCAAAAAAACTCTATGCCATTCCTGCTTTATCAGTAATCAAGAAACAAATAGGAATTGGATGAATTTAGAAAATATTTCTTCTACTTATTATGCAATATTAAACCACATGTCAGCTTATTCATATCCATAAGCTGTAACTATTCCTCGTTATTCTTCCAAATGAGGACTCTCCGGAAACTGAAAAGGTACTGTGCTCAGTCCAGATTGTTCAAATGCTAGCAAGTTCCTTCAAACTCCACTTTCAGTCTCTCAGTAGGTTGTCTTCTTCTCCATCACACTTTAGTTGAGCACCCAGGCTCATCATTGACAGCTTAAGGATCTGATCCCTTTTGCTTTGACTTGAGACTTGAGAATCTTAGGGCTGTCTTCTTTTTTTTAAACTTTTATTCATCTTATTTGTTCGTGTGAGTGTAAGTGTGTGGGCATGCATGTGGAGGTCAGAGGACAGCTTGGCAGAGGCGATTCTCTTTCTCCACCATGTGTCTCAGGGATCAAATTCGGGTTGTCAGGCTTAGTAACAAGGTTTTCTCCACTGAGATCTCTCTCTGACTCTGAAAGCGTGTATGTTCTATGTGTGTGTGTGTGTTGTAGTGTGATATTTTATAGCCATAATATGAAATGTCCAGTGTTTCCTTGTCAAATAGGTAACTTCAACTTATACCCTATATTTGTATGTTGTACATTTTGAAATAAATTTATGTCCCTTCTTCATATAAGGACCTCACTTGTCTCACTGTGACAATCAAGGGCACACTAACGCTGGACTGACACCTGAAGGTCCCGTTCTGAGTTCCATGCTTCCCTGTGTACCTTTCTTGTTTATGAAGGCTTTTGGGGGATCCCCAGAGAATTAATTTTCTCCTTATTGCTTTAATGTATACTTTCACAATAATACCTGTTTCACTCAAAGATCTACTGCTGTATATACACCAGTGTCTCACACATATCGTTGACAAGAGTGATCGTATTAGTTAGGCAGTGATGGTACAGGCCTTTTGTCCAAGCACTCAGGAGGCAGAGGCAGGTGAATCTCTGTGATTTCAAGTCCAGCCTGGTCTACAGAGCTAGTTGCAGGACAGCCAGGGCTGTTACACAGAGAAACACTGTCTCGAAGAAGAAGAAGAAGAAGAAG